TCATCAGCATCAGCATCGCTATCATCATCAGTGTCATCATCAGCATCATCATCATAATCATTATAAGTGCAATCATCAGCATCATCATCAGCATCATCATCAACATCATCATCACCGACCATCACCAACCACCATCGTCATCATCACCATCAGCAGCAGCACCATGATCATCAGCATCATCAGCATCACCATCATCAGCAGCATCAGAATCGTCACCTTCAAATTCATCATCCTCATCATCATCAGCATCAGCATCATCAGCATCGACATCACCATCATCAATCTCATCAGCATCATGATCAACATCATCACCCCCATCATCACCATCATATTGTACCATCATCATAATCATCGTCAGCATCATCAGCATCATCATTTTCAGCAGCAGCATCAGCATCATCAGCACCAGCATCATCATCAGCATCATCAGCAGCAGCATCAACATCATCAGCATGATCACCAACATCATCGAAATCATCATTGTACTCGGTAACAGGATCAGCCTTCGCAACATCATCATCAGCATATGCATGCGCATCAGCATCGCCACCAGCTTCGTCAGCATCCTCATCATCATCGGCGTAATCGGCATCATCAGCAGAATCAGCATCATCAGCATCATCATCACCACCATCATCATCATCGTCGTCATCAACGAGAGCTCTTCTTGCTGCAAAATCATTAGCCATCATCATCGTAATCATCCCCGTCGTCTTCATAATCCCCTTATCACCCGCAACTAGGCTCACCAAAGCCTGGAGACACGAAATGTCGAAACACAAAATGTCTCACGTAACGGCCTCCCGTGCCCCCTCGAACAATTGATAGCTAGCATGCTGGAATGGCACAGTGGCGGGACTTGGCGCAAGCAGCTGGATATACAGATAGATGCACAGTTACATACACATCCAATCATACGCACATACATACATGCATGCACGCATGCGCGCGTACATACAGACAGACAGCCAGATGTATATTTTCAAAGCCCCTTGAGGGCAACCAGCTGCGAGGCGTAGGTGCCCCTGCTTGCTGCAACAGTTCCAGCGCAAAGGTTCCCAACGTTGTAGTCATACTGTTAATCCAATGTTGGAATGATTGAAGACCGCGCGAGGACACCGCCCTACTTTGAAAACCACCACCCCTCCATCCATCCGAGTAAGTGTTGCACATTGAGATCACGAGTGCGAAAAAATCCCAGGCGAAGAGACAGGCCCGCCCTACCCACTCGTCTGAGGGCGCAGCAGGGGGGGGTGAGTGTATACTTGTGAAGGAAATGGACGGAGGAGGCGAGAGGAGACGGACGAAGAGCGAGGAGGAGGGAGGGAGGAGGGAGGAGGGAGAACGACGGACGAGGGAGGAAGGGGAGAGCTTGACCAAGGCAAGGGGGAGGAGCAGCCGCAGAGCTCAGGCCGCAGCGCGCTCGGTCGAGGCGCTCGGGGGCATGGACACGCTGAACCTGCCGCGCGGGGGGCCCCTGCCCGGCGATCAAAAACGAACAGCCCGCTGCCGCCAAAGGCGGGGACGGGGACGGCACTCGTCGGGGAGGGGCCAATGAAGACAACGGCAGCACTCTCCCAAGGGAGCGAATTTTGGCATAAACAGAAACCGTCGGAACTCCGCGCGGATTGTTCTGACCTGGCGCCGAGCCCCCCTCCCTGAGCCCCCTCCTGGCTGGCGCGCGGGGCGCGCCAGGCGGGAGGCGCGGGGCCCAGCGCAGATCTGGGACATCCGTGTTGTCCTTTCCCCCGCGCTTTGGTCGTGTACTTCTGGGGCCTCCTGGAAGCTCCTCGCCGCCACGGCTGGATCCGCCTTGACAAAAAACCAAGATAGACCCTGGAATGGGTCCGGACGCCAACTCTGGAGCGCCAGCCGGGAGAACCACCGCTGTCTCGATGGGCCCTCCCCCGAGCTCGGAGGCGATCTTGCACGAACGGAGCTTGCACAACGCCAAGTGATCGTCCGGGGTCTGCGTGCAGCGGCTGGGCTCTGATCGAGAAACGTCACTGGTCACGGAAAGCTTTTCGGGCACCCGTGTCGTCCGTCCAAGATCCGGACATTGGCGGCGAGGGAGAGGGGGAATGAGAACGAGAAGGCCTTCTCAGAAGGCGGCGGGACTTCTCAGAAGCCCTCGCGCCTTCTGAGAAGTCGTTTTGTTCTCTTCGGGGAAAGCTTAAAAACTCCTCGGGAGGCCAGGGGACTTCCGAACCTTCTGACAAGACTTTTTCCTTCTCACTTCCCCCCTGCGCTCGCCGCCGAGGATCGCAGGGCGAACTGGCGCGGCGCAGCCGCGCACGCGCCACCGCCCGGGGAGCCGATGTCCGCAGGGGATGCGGATATCGTTGGACCCCGGGGTGGCCCCCACCGCCTCCCGAAGTCCATGAAAATTTGGTCCCCCGAGGTGGATATGTATATATACATATATACATGCACATATATATACACACACAAGACTGCATTGGCGCTTCGCGCAATGCGCCTTGTTCCAGACGCTTCCCCG